GTAACCATGACACAGGATAACGCCAAAGTTCTCATAATCCTGCTCCAGTTGATTTGTGCATCTCCAAGGCCTCTCCTAAAAATATAGTTAGAAAATTTACTAAGCCACTTCATTTGTTGTCATAGTAATTCAGAAAACAACTAGATCACTTCTAAAGAGAGTTACAGTTACAACTCGACAATTATATGACACTTGAAAGCAATCAATGCACTGGGTTAATCATTTAAGATCTGCAAGGCAACTGCCAGTCTAGATAAAAATAGTTATTTTCATAGTTAGACCTGATACCAAATAAAGAATTACTGCAAAGAGAAGAACGAGAGTATTATATTAGTAAACAATTTTTCCACTGTGTTTGAGAAGCTAGTGTATGTTAGTGTGGACATACAGAAAAAGCTGTCTGCACTCTCATTTTAACAGAAGATGCAGAAAATGAAAAAGCAGGTTTATAATGACAAGGTATGCCGGTGTTACATAAAGATTGTAGAGTTTTATTTGGTACAGTAACAACCCACGGAGGCAGTACGAATATACTGCCTCGTGTTTCACATAATAAAATTAAAAGCATAAAATACAAAGTCCTAAAAACAAAACCACATCTGTCACCACCACAACTGCACAGAAGAGATAACACATAATACATGGGTTTTCAGGGATAACATATACAATAGAGGAGAACTCTAGGAATTTCTAAGACTGTAGCAAAATTAAACTAAGACAGCCATGAAGGAAGAGAAAAAAAAAGTATTTCACTCTAAGTATTAAGCAGAAAGGAACATAAATCCTTTAAAAAAAAATATATGGAAAAGCAACAGTTCTGAAGGGTCAAGCCAACAACAGCATCTAAGTTACCATATGAGAGAGTCATCAAAATAAGCATCAGCATCTTTAACACTAGTAAATGAGCATTTAATCTACTGAAGTCAAGAGTAGTCATTCATCTCATTAAAGGTTAATAAAATTTTAGAATGATATATAAAGATATACAGGGATACAAAACAAGCCGCAAGAAATATCTACAGCAATGAAGGCAGTTTTCCAGACACGAGCTGTCCCTAACCAAACAGAAGCAGTCAACCGAAAAACAGCAAGACCAAAGTGCCACAATTAACTAATCAAGCCCATAGAAATACATATATCTTTCACACTCATTTTATCACTTCTATTTTAACACAAAGGAACTAAACGCAGTAACAGAAACAAAAATAAGGTAAGAGAAGTCTCCAAAGTTTAACAAAGCTACAAAAAAATAAGTAGCATAAGGCAGAGCATTCCAAACAGATGAAGTTTAAAAAAAAAAAACCCACACCAAAAAAATCCACACCACAGAAATACTTGCTAATATTGATTTCCAAAGAAAATAAGAAAAAACTTTATGCAACAGTGAAGGATACCAATGCATGGGGTTTTTAGAAGCAAAACTATTTAAAAAAAAATAATCATAGAATAGTTGGGGTTGGAAGGGACCTTTAAAGATCATCTAGTCCAACCCCCCTGCAATGAGCAGACACATCTTCATTTAATTTAGGTTCCTCACAGCCCTGTCCAACCTGGCCTGGAATGTTTCCAGGGATGGGGCATCAACCCATCTCCCTGGGTAACTTGTTCCAGTGTTTCATAAAGTCTCCCTTACATCTAGTCTACATCTATCCTCTTCTAGTTTAAAACCATTATACCTTGTCCTGTTGCAACAAGCCTTGCTAAAAAGTTTGTCTCCATCTCTCTTATAAACCCCCTTTCAGTACTGGGAGGCCACTATAAGGCCTTCCCAGAGCCTTCTCTTCTCCAGGCTGAACAACCGTAACTCTCACAGCCCTTCTTCATATAAGAGGTGCTCCAGCCCCCTGATCATTAATCATAATGATGTCGCTTATGCTCTCTGACCTGATACATTTTAATTAAAACCACATTTTAACATTTAAAAGTCACATAGTACTGACTTCAAAATCATGCCTAAGAGGGAAGCCAGTTCAGACATCAGTTACATGTATTTACTTGTGTCCAGCAGCAATTACCTGTCACTTGTGCAACTGATGGCAAACAGAAAGAAAGGAAAACCAACTTACCTGTGAGATGTATCATTTAAACAGGAAAAGGAAGAGGCTCTATTGAACCACTTGGGAGAGCACTCATGATTTCTTACCATCAGAGTTCAAGGGCAAATCACTCCTAGGATGTACATCAACAAGTCACCTTTGCATATCAAGTCATAAAATTCTACCTGCACTTATTCCAGAGTGGATCTTTGGAATCAAGATGGATTGCTAGATCACAGAATCTCCTATTTCTTCTTTACTGTCAGTTACAAGGTGTAAAAATCCTTCCACGTGTAACCTCTCAGTAACAGAGTCTGTGGCCCTTACCTTTCCTCAAGGATCCTCATGATTCTACTGATCTGAGACTGGATTATGCCACCAATAGGTCTTCTCCCTTAATGTCGAAATGATATTTCCCCTTTGCATGTACTTACTAAATCTACATTTTCCAAGGTAACCATATGAGCTTTCAAGTCTCTTTGAAAGCCTTCTCAATTCCAAGCATAACTAGAACACAAGAAGCATGCCAGCAGTACAAGCCTCAGTGGGATATGTGCATGTAGAAAGAATACTAGTATTTGCCCTTCTGCACTGAAGTTTCTAAGTGACTTAATCAAATTCCTCAGTAATGCATTACAAAAATTTCTGCATCCTACAAAAACGTATCACTTGGGAAAAAAACTTGCAATCTGAAGCTACCCGTTTACTAAACGTCAATTCTCCACCAGGCTCCCTGTCATTAAGAAAAATGCACTCCAGAATCCCTCATGTTGCTATTTCTCTGCTAGACTGTGAACACCAAGCTGAACAACTCAACACTGACTGCTGAATTTGTTTGCGAAGAATCAGAAGCACTCCCTCTCCCAGAAAAAGCATTCTCTTGTTCCCTAATGTGCCCTCTATTTGAAAGGGCAAGTCATTGTCCCTAAAGGACTCAAGAGGAACAAGCACAAACAAACAAAAGTTCACAACAGTCAAGTGACCGCTAATTCAGCAAACAAATTAGAAGTGCACCAGTTGTCTGTCCACTCCTATTTTATAGGCTCACCATACCAGGTAGTTCTGAAGATATTAGAAAGAAGACCTTGCACTAACAAAAAATAGTATCCTGACAATGAAGTTCTACAAGTGGCAGGAAGTAGCAAAGCTTGACAGAAAGTTTGGCAAATATTTTCTCAGTGCCACCAGATCTTACACACTTCTGTGTATGTGTTTCTTTAAAAAAAGAAATCTTGTACCTTGTACATGGAAGGCAGGTACTGAATAAATAATAGCTGGAGGGAGTAAAAAAATCTTAATTTGATTGATATTTCTCCTATCTCCATTTGAAGGTTTTCTTTTACTGTTTTAATTTCTCATGAAATTTGACTCCCACCCTATATTCAAAGCAAACCACAACTTCCAACAAGACCCAACATAGAAGTTTGTAACATTATTTTTTCTAATTATCAACCCAACTGCTTCCTTCTTTCAAATTACACTGAAAGTGTATCTTAGGGTGATACTGGTGTTTATCCTGGCACACTTTCTTGTAAGAGAATTACAAGCTCACTCACAAAGAGAGATGATACAGCAGGACACATACCATCATGGACACTCAATAACTCATCCACTGATGGACCCTGACCTGTTAGTTAGATATTTCTCATGCTTTATACCACAGTAACAAGGAAAAGCAGCACCTACTTCAGTGGCAATAAATATAATTATTTGCTAAGGCCTGTTTTCTAGAAATTGTCAGAAGTCTGTTACTTGTAATTTATGCTGACAATTATTTCTGTCCACTTGTCCTTATTAATTCATAGAACACATACAGGAGAAGCAATAACATCTTTCTCTTGTCATAGTTACCTTTTTTCCTGACTTTTTCTTAATATTTACTCTGGTAACTGGGTTCTAAAGTTGAAGTTCAGTCATGTGAGTGGATCAAAGAAAGCAGCAGTTTTCCCTCTATGCATGTAGCCCTGTACGGCCAGTTAAATCTAGTTAGATTAGGGGGCATGTCAGAAGCGAGTAGGTCTTTTTAGGAACCATTTGTCACATTACCTCCAGAATCAGCATTACATCTGTAGAAAACCTATGCCTGAAGGCTGATCTGTGGCTTTCTAAACCCACCCAGTCTATTTTCTCTACTCTGCATCCCCTGCAGGGAAAGTATACCTCCCACATTGTCAAAAGCTGATGCGGTTGACAGGAAAGCCTATGGGGTAGCAAATACAACTTCAAAGTTCTCTATTAAGAAAGCCTTCAGTTGCTCTCTGCTCATTCTTCTTGAAAGATATCCCCTTAGGCCACTGCAGTTCTATTGCTAAAGATTTAACTGATGATTCCACGAGAGAAATGGAAATTGTATCTGTTATATAATGATATATTGTATTTAAAAAAAAAATTACACTGTAACGATTAAAATGACATCCCCTACCCATGCTTTCCTCCAACATTCCTTTGAGAGCATGTGCAACCCACACATCAGACTCATCCTCTTTCACCTGCTGTGTTTAGTTCCTTCTTCCACTACAGGAATTGCTTCTCTCAATACACATAATACCACAGAGAAAGTACCATTCTGAGTTTGTCTCTGTTTAAAAAGCAGCAGACTAAGGACTCTGGTGAAGTCATTCCAAAAACTGTTCTTTGCTTCAGTCCCTAAGAAAGGGGAGACTGGGACTACACTGCCTAAGTCATCCATAGGGCAGCACCACACTTCCACGTGTGCTCTCTTTGAAGTAACAGGCGGGTACTTTGCCAGATACAGAAAGTTTGATACTTCTGTATTCCACATCTATCTGTGTACGTTATGCATTAGCGTGTTACATCACGCAGAAACCCTGGCATACAACCTTTCCATTCACTGCATGCACCAACCCAGCAAAGAGGCTGCGCAACAATTACCTAGGATTTTGTTGAAAAACCCACACCCTATCTTCCACAATAGTGTAACCCAGTCTACTTGAAAACACTTACTTTTGTTTGCTCTTGTTTGGAAGCCTCCAGGTTTAATAAGTCATTTCAGTTGTAGATAATACAGACAGGCCCACTTCAGTGTGAGATGAGAGGACAGCAGTGTGTTCATTCCTTCAGCTTTCAAACAACATTTGACTTTTGTGCTGTAGCTGGCCCCTGACAAGAATGGAACAGGTAGGAAGACATTGTTACCACTGACAGAATATTTCAATTGATGTTACTTTTAAAAAAACTTCAGAAAGGAAGCAAAACCCCAGAATATTTGCTACTAAAAACATTCTGGAAAAAGGAAACAATATTAGTTCTTTTTATGTTTTAGCTTGTGTCAGGAGGTTTGCCATCAAGTAGCTGGAACTGAGAAGAACTTTCTCTTCTAAAACTTTAAGATAAAGTTTTGAAATGTTTCTAATGTGTAAATCTTACATAGACTTTCAACCATGCTTATGTTCCCCATACATATTTAGGCATCTTTCTGCACAGTTAAGCATTTCCTCTCTCATCCCTTCCTAAAGAATACAGCCATTTATTTGTTCCTTTTCCCAAATACATTCAGGAAAGACTTTCATATGAAAGCTGCTATGTAACTTGACAAAGTCAGAAGGAATAGACCATGAAACAAAACTTTTTTTTTTTACTTGTTTCCAGTTCTTAGAAAAATTAGTATGCTGTCTCCTTTAAAAGAACACAGACAATATTAAAGATTTACAGTTACTTCTCATTAAATTAGTCTTGCATTCTAAATTAACTAGTTAACACTGTAACCCTACATGTCAGGAACACATTAACACTAGAGTTTGCTCAACCCCAGTGATGTCTGTCTCTTTGACAAGTGCATCTTTCCAAAGTTTCCTTCTGACCAAGCGTAGGATCATAATCAGTGCTGAAAGGGCAAATCCTGCATTTTACTGAAAACACCTCTATATCTCACCTCTTGTGATGCTTGTCACACAATAAAGCTACATATAGCCCCCAAAGTTCTGTATGTTAAGGCCTAAAAGTTAGTACAGCCCAACTTTTTTAACACCTTAAACAACAATTTAACACTAAAAAGGAAACTATAGCAGGAAACACGTTCTAGTTTTGCACAGTGCTAATCCTGTACCATGATATTTGCCCTTCAAATCCAGTTAATGATAAACAAATACATGACTATCGCAACCAATGAGCACAATACTGCCCTAAACAGGTATCATTCGGTAGAGCCAAAGTACTTTTTAAGCATCAGTTTTGATTAGTACCTATTGTGAGAAGTCAGTCTACAGGCCAACTGCAAAACACTTAACGTCTACACAATTTTAACACTGAATTTGTCTATGTTGCTTTCTACAGCATCAAGAAAAATGTGGCTTTCGGTGGAAAGAAAAAAGGTAATACCCTTCTTATGCTCTTAATTATATGTACATTTGAAAAAAAAAACCCACACAACACAAAACCAATCAAACAAAAAAACCACCAATCACACAAAGTAGGAATTGTGCTTTTTGACTGCCATAGGGCAAAGACCAGGAAGGAGAAACAGTCCATCATCTTTTTGGTTTAAATTAACTAAAAAGTTTGCTCTGAAATGGAAGTTTTCAGCTTTTCAGCTGTGAACACTGAAAGAACTCATGTGGTTTAGAACAAAATTTAAAGCACTCAAAAAAAGAATACTACATTGACTTAAAAGCCTGAAAGGGAGTCAGGAGCACTCGGAATATTTTCATATTACAGGAGAGAACTGCCTTTTCCAGGAAAGGTAAAAATTACAGTTCAAAGGTGTCTTTGCTAAGCCACGGCGCTGGGCTACGCGCTGCAGCAACGTATCGCTTCCAGACTGATTCAGCACAGCAGGGCGTGAGTGAGGAGAAGCCGGAGCCGAAGAGCAACACCCAGCGAGCCTCAACAGCCGGGACCCGCCGGGGCTCCGCGGTCGGCGGCCGCAGGTGAGTGCGGGCGGCGGGCAGGCACCGCCGGGCGCCCAGAGCGCTCGGGGCGGCAAGGGGCGCCCTCACAAAAGCCTCCAGCAACCCCCAGACCACCCCGGGAGGCGAAGAGGCGAGCGACGGGGAACGCGAGGTGTGCCGGGGCCCAGAGCTGGGAACCAGGCGCTTAGTAAAGCAAAGAGCTTGCACAGAAGATGGGTGAAATTGATGGCTCATCCTCCACTGCCTACCTGCCGGACTGCATGCTCTCCCCGGCTGGAATGAGCCAACTGGCTCTTGAGGTTGGAAAATTAAAACAGAGAGGGGCCTGACTCACAGTCCCATTTTGCCCACAACAGGCCATACAGAAACAACCAGCTTCTCCTCCCAGATCTGTAAAACAAAGTCCAAACCGGCGCACAGCTACTGACGGTAATATACAACCCACAGGCTGTGAGACATGGCTGCTAGTCCTGCTTAACTACACTTGAAAAATCCTACTGGTGTCTGCCTGCCTCATTAGGCACTTAAATATCTTTGGGATTTGAGTCCTGAGCCTTTTGTGCCTCACGGTCCCCCACTGCTAATGGACATCATCAACTATCCTGAAAGGGCACAGGAAAAAATATATATATTTATTAAAGATTGTGAGGCTCAAACGGGGGGTTAATGGGAGCCGCTTAGGCAAAAAGTGTAGCCAGCTAATAGGTGAAAGAGAAAAATAATTTATGGGCTGAGAAGAAGAAAGGAACACAGGTCCTGGTCTGCCAGGTAATTCTGTTTCCCCGGCTGCCATACAAAGCCGGCAGGTCTGACAAGGAGCAGTCTGTAAACTTGAAACAAAGCATGTTTCTGCAGCTGGATGGAGTCAAGCACAGCTCTATATTAGCAAAGAAAAAAAAAAGAGATTTCACAACTTTATAGCTTCGGGCTGGTTTCCCTTCAGGAGTGAAAATAGGCCAGTCTCACTACCTCCTGCCACTGCCCCAGGTCTTACCTGTCCCAGCCATTCATCAAGCACAGCACAGCTTCAGGACGTGAAACCAAGCAGGGTCAGCACTCGGGTCTTTTCGCTCCTTGAAAAGGGATTAAAACAACATCAGAACAATTAATATGTCCTTTTTGGATACAAATCTGACTCTGAGCTTAAAATGGCATTTCTTTTTTCTTTTCTAACCAAATGGTTTAAATCTCAGACATTAAATTGCAGGATCATAAACCATGATAAGGGC